ATATATATATATATATATATATATATATATATATATATATATATATATATATATATATATATATATATATATATATATATATATATATATATATATATATATATATATATATATATATATATATATATATATATATATATATATATATATATATATATATATATATATATATATATATATATATATATATATATATATATATATATATATATATATATATATATATATATATATATATATATATATATATATATATATATATATATATATATATATATATATATATATATATATATATATATATATATATATATATATATATATATATATATATATATATATATATATATATATATATATATATATATATATATATATATATATATATATATATATATATATATATATATATATATATATATATATATATATATATATATATATATATATATATATATATATATATATATATATATATATATATATATATATATATATATATATATATATATATATATATATATATATATATATATATATATAAGTCAGAATTATTAGCCCCCATTGGAATTTTGGAATCTCTTTTTCTTTTTTAAATATTTCCCAAATGATGTTTATTGGAGCAGGGACATTTTATCATTATGATTATCATTATTATCATTATGTCTGATAATATTGTTTTCCTTTTTTTTTCTAGAATAAAAGCAGACTGAACTATTTTATGAACCATTTTTAGGACAAACTTATTAGCCCCTTAAAGCTAAATTATTTATTGATTGTCTACAGAACAAACCATCGTTATAGAATAACTTGCCTAATTACCCTATCCTGTCTAGTTAACCTAATTAGCCTAGTTACGCCTTTAAATATAACTTTAAGCTGTATAGAAGTGTCTTGAAAAATATCTAGTAAATTATTATTTAATGTCATCATGGCAAAAATACAAAACATAAGTTTCTAATTTATTCTGTCTTTCTTTAGCATTGCATTGTTAAATAGGCATTGTCTGTTGATTTGGTTCAAAGTGTTTTATGATTACAGTTTGTCTCAGTCACTTCGGTTCATTTCTCAGATCAGAATTGAAATTCTCAAAACTACCTGTTAAATCTTCACATCGTGTAACTTGTGCACATCAGAAAAGCAGTTTCTCATTCCTTTGAACAAGTTGCAAATGTTTTTGTACATCCATGATAATGACTGTGCGCAGATGTCTGCTGTTACCTATACATTATCAATTGCTTATGTCATGTTGATCAAAATGTTAAATAGTCTCACCCATCACAGTTTAATCCATTGTTCATGGCAAGTCTTTACATGCAAATGACTGAACAAGTTGTCATAATATTTTGTCATAATGCATTTTTTCATTCAATTAGACTTTTTTTCTAAATCTGTCTACAGTTGGTAAATTTCTCCCACATAAATCTAGATTTTTAGGTCTAAAAGGAGGTTGTGCTATGTTCACATTTCTATTTTGTTTTGTTTTTTCTTTGTGCTATGCGGTGCTGTATTTTCCTTTCTGCATCACAATGACATCATTACAGTACAAACAGTAAAAAATATAAATAGCCATCAATCATACCAGGAAAGCCCTCCAGAGTGCACTATAGTATTGACAACATTGACAACCAAGTAATTTGACTGTCTTATCGTAATTCTGACAGCACTGACTTGTTCATTGATACAGTAATGTAGTTTTGAGAGATGAACTAAGGATTTTGAGCAAGAAGACTGGCTTTTGCAGGTGATTCATGCTGTTTTGTTAGTTGTACACAGTGTTTTGAGAAATGCACTTGCTGTTTTGCTAATTTTAATTCTGATCTGAAAAATGTGCCAAATTGACTGAGAAAACTGTAACAGTTAAAATGTTAATAAAAAGATGCAAAAAAAGACATTAAAATTATGATTAAAATAAATCTGAATTTGTGTAAAATATGGGCAAAAATGGGCAAACTCAGTCCCTGCATTAAGTTTAAACCAACAACTCATACCCAGCATTTTTGTGTATTCATGACATATATAAGAAGATTTTTTGAGATTGTAAATTACTAAAATTAAACAGCAGAGGGAGCTAAGACATCACAATACTTACAACACATTCACAGAATAGACCTGCTGTAAAAAAAAGAAAAGACATGCATTCGTGCACATATTAAACACCCCATGCTTCTGTGTGAGATACATTCTATCAGGTAAAAAGAAAACAAACAAATTTTTACCCAAAACAGCTGCCTTTTACACGAGACCAAAAAAAGCCTCATGGATTCATCAATCCACTTCCAGCATTATCTTGTGTTTCCAGTGTGAATTCTGTTTAAAAGCTGGAGCGAGGAGCCTGGATTTCTCTTTCCACACTCGGCATGCTTGGTGTATCTCGACAAACCAGCCGGTGGCGGAAGTGTCCGCTTAGCAGGATGTAGATGAAGGGGTTGATGCTGCTGGCGGCGTAGCTCAGACACACAGACAGGTAGTAGCAGGTGTGGTATGCCAGCGAGGGCCGAGGAACACTCAGGTTAACCAGCTGCAGGATGTGGTATGGCCCAACACTCACCAGGAAAACCGCAACCAGGACCAGGACCATTTTAGTCAGGCGGACCACACGCTCCCGAGGCAGGCTGGTGTTGTACCTAAAATAAAGTCATAAATGCAGGATTTAGTCACAAATTTGGTTAAACTGGTTATATTTTATGATAAATATTTATGAATACATTAGAAAAGGATATCATGTGAAAAATTGAAATTATGTCATCATTTTATCACAATAAGATGATCAAAACCTGCATTATTCAATGGGAAGTCAATGGGAACCATAAATGTTTGGTCATCAACATTCTTCAATATATTTTCTTTTTGTGTTGAGCAGCAGAAAAAAAAAGTCACACAAGTGAGGTTTTATAAACAAACTTCGGTAGGAGCATGCGCAGATGTTTCAACAATTCTAATACACCATTGACAATCATTCTATTATCCAATCAGCATTAGACCAAACCAAATTTGAACTACCTGCATTATCTCATGACTTTAGTATCCACCTACCACCCTGACACCTCACCTTTTAAACATTATCTACCTGGGAGGGAGCATTATTGGGCCGGGCTAGACACTTCACTTGAACCCCAATGTCTCTCCCTTTCCTGAATAACACGAGTGCTCAGGGCCCTCTCTCTGGACAGCACGGTAAATATGCTTTATTCTTTAAACCCGTGGTTCTCAAAGTGGGGGTCGCGGGACAATGAAGGGGGGGTCACTTGACGATTTTCAAAAATTAATTTTTTATTAGAATGACCATATTTTATCCATAACCTACCAAAGAACAACATAGTATTTAGTAACATTGTTAACATAATAATAATAATAATAATAATAATAATAATAATAATAATAAACATTAAAACCACATGCAAATAAAAAGCCACCAGTCTTTCATTTTTTTGCAAGCTCTGGGTGATTGCGTTATATTAAAGACGATGCAGCACATTAATTTAATGGCATCAGGTTAAATTTTTTGACACCTTTACAGCACTCACATCCATTAAAAATAAATACAGGCCACAACTGAACATGGAGGATGGTCTATGAGTGATGATCTCCAAAATTAAATGTTGAATAGATTTGGGCCTATTCATATGTGTGCATCGTTGTGTTTAAAGTTTATATATTTATAACCACCTCAGAGAATATTGGGTGTCGCAAGTCACTGGCAATGTTATTTTGGGGGTTGCGGGATGAAAGGTTTGGGAACCTCTGCTTTAAACATCTGTATGTGTTGTGACGAGCGTCCCAAAGGATCATCAGCGTGGCCCAGGAAACTAAGGAGAAACACCTGCAAGCCCTCAACTCAGACTGATCGGCCCCAGCTGCAGCCTGTCAGCCGGCTTGCATTTAAACTGCAGCAACACAGCAGAACGGGGAGAAGTCTCTCCAGGAGAACAAGCACTAACTCGCTCTCTCTCTAATTTCCCAAACAGCAGCTGAGAACCTGCCGGAACCACAGAGGCACTTCAATAATCCACTGTCACACTGGGAAAGGAGCACAAAGAGCACACAAGCCACCAACCTAAACTCACCACTGGAAAAACCTGTTGTAAATAAACCACCCTCCGGGGCACTTATATGAGCTCTCACTTGTTGTGTGATTCTTCTCCCCGTGACAGTGTGAACTCGTGGTGTTTAGATTGATAACAGGATGAGAAGGTCATTATAGAATAAATATATTGTCAGATATTTAACAGATATATTTTCTATAAATTAACATTTACAGCAAAATTTTAAAGAATGAAAATTTGTGTTTCACTGCAAGTTAAGCTCAATTAACGGAGTTTGAAAAAAAAAGTCCACTTGTCAATTCTTTTCTCAAAATTAGGCTACAGTGACATTTACAATGGAATTGGATGACGTGTAAATATCATTGCTGACAACTTTCTCTTTATGAAATTACATAGGGGTAGCTCACACAAAAATGCCAATTTACTCTATTTACGCGTCCACAAGTGGTTCCAAACCTAAATGAGTTTCTTTCTTCTTCTACAGGTTTGCAGCTTTCTTCAAAATATCTTCTTTTAGGGGTTAACAGAAAAAGTAACTCATAAAGGTTTGGAACCACTTGATGGAGGGAGAATAAATGAGTAAATGATCACAGAATATTCAGTTTTGGGTATCCCTTTAACCCCTTTGTTTCATGAAAATATTCATTTATTCATTAATTTTCTTTTCGGCTTAGTCCTTTTATTAATCTGGGGTCGCCACACCGGGATGAACTGCCAACCTATCCAGCGTATGTTTTACGCAGCGGATGCCCTTCCAGCTGCAACCTAGTATTTGAAAACACCCATACACTCTTGCTCTCACACACATACACTTCGGCCAAGTTCGTTTATTCAATTCACCTATACCATGTCTTTGGACTGTGGGGGAAACCTGAACACCCAGAGGAAACCCGGACACGGGGAGAACATGCAAACTTTATTCATGAAAATAAAATGCCACTAATTAAAGTATAAAACCCAAACAAGAGAATGAAATTAAATTAGCTTTAATGCACAAAGTATTTATAAATATTATGATATTCTACAATAAAAAATCTATTACATTTTATTTACAAAATAATAATAAATTAATAAAATTCTCAGAAATTCTAAGTCATCATTCAGGTTGTGATGAATTCACCTGTGAGCCTTTTTGTTCTTGCGATACATTCTCCAGGTGTAGCAGAGGATCAGTATGTAGCAGGTCAGGATCAGAGGTAATGGCAGAAAGAAGGACGTCACAGTCTGGTAGAGCGTGTACCTAAACATTTATGAGCAAGAAGAGCATTAAAGGTTCATGAAACCCTTCACTACAATGGTATTTATTTATTGTTTTAACACATTTATGGGCATTGAGCATCAATTAAGACAAAGTTAGTGTCTGTCAGCTTTAATTGTGGGTAAAACCGGATTATTTTAAGCTTTTTTCTCTGCTAATTCCTCTGGGTTTAAAATGGTCATTGGGGCTGGATAAAAATCATTGATTTAGCGCTCGACCCCTAGTGGAGAGAAGACGCGTCGGTGTCTCATTTTTATTTACAGATTGAGATTTCTTTTGCTATGAGAAGACCCTACTTCTTAATTATTCATGAAAGCACGTGATGCTTTCTAATGACAGACCTGCCAATCTGGGAGACCATGCACAGCATTTATAACCAGGGATTCAGGAGGAGAGCAGTCCACCACCTTAACAGAACCCGGCATACTCACTTAAGCTTCTGTGTCGATGTCCACCTTTTTTATGAGTGCTCTCTGTGTACATGTAAACCTTGGCTACTTACATTTTTTTTTTTAGATTAATAGATTGCATACACATTTAAGGTCTTCATATTAACATGATTGTGTTTACAGTGTTATTACAAATTGTGGTTATATGATTTTGTATATTTTAAGTTTTTACAGATAGTGCCGGCCCATATGATTGAGGGGCCCTAGGCGAGATAAAAAAAAAAAAAACAGCAAGAAAGTACAAAAATATACAAATTTAATATTTAAGTGTATACATTTTTTTAACATATTTAACCTATAATACACATGTAAAAATATTTACTCGGATTTAAACAAATAGGTTTGCAAAGTATTGTAAAGTATTGCAAATGAAAGTGCAAGAGTGTTGTAAAAATAAACTGTATTTAGAACAATTCACACACATACACTACGGATAATTCAGCTTACCCAGTTCACATAGCGCATGTCTTTGGAATGTGGGGGAAACCAAAGCACCAGGAGGAAATCCACACAAACATGGGGAAAACATGCAAACTCCACACAGAAATGCCAACTGACCCAGCCAAAGCTCAAACCAGCAACCTTCTTGATGTGAGCCAATTGTGCTACCGGCTGCGCCACTGCCTCGCCGTTGAAGGAAAATGAATAAATGA